AAAAAAAGGTCAGCTATGAGGGGTTATAACGCAACAGTACTTAACAATAATAATATACCAGAATAAAGAGCTCTGGTGGCTTAGTGAGCAGTAGGAAGCTGCTCTGCCAACCCAAAAGGCACATGGATCAAATCCACCAGTTGCTCCATTGCAGAAAGATGGGTCATCTCCTCATGTGAGGTGAAGTGTCTCTGAAAACTCAGTGGAGGGTCAGCTATGAGTTGGTCCCAACTCAATGGTACGTAGTAACAGCAAACCAGAACATCAACTTTTATATGCACCTACCTGGTTACCATAAGCGTAGAGAATATTACTTCTTGGATGGAATACCATTCCAACAGGGACAGAGAATGTTGAAGGAAAATTAAACTTTGGATATTTACTCAGGACACTGAGTTGATTATTTCTCATGGTGTTCACAGTGGCAGTGACTTTTTTCTAGAAATAGATAAAGTGTTAGGTTACACAAATTTCCCAAGTATTATCATTATTCTTATGTGCTATCGAGTCGACTATGACTCACAGAAGTGATATTAACAACAGATCTGAACTGGATCCTCTCTTATGCCATCCTCAGGCCCATTCTTATAATCACTCAGTCAATCCATCTTGTTGTAGATCTTTCTTTTTCTAACATTCCATGATCTATCTATTATTACTCTTATAATTATAATGTTTAAAGTTTCTAGTTCCTTGGACTTTTATTAAGACAGATAGAGCTGAGATCAGCAATCATCACTACCAGGTTATCTGACCCATTCTCCATAAATACCCATTTTATGTTGGAAATGAAATTTAGGACTGTGGTGTAAGCCTAAAAATTGGCTCTTTTAGCCATTACATTAAGCCCCCTCTGGTCTCCAGCTACTTTAACTGCAAACATATGGTCTTGCAAATGATCAATAGCTGTGGGACTAGGATGAGAGTGAGAGTGCTTCCCACACTAAGTAGCAAGACTTGTGGCAGCAGGATTTGAGATGGGCTAGGTTTGAGGGAGACTGGAGCAAGGGCCTGTTGAGAGCGAGACCCTGGTGATGGTGGTGGGGAGACTGTGGCATTGCTATGGAAAAACTATGGCAAGCTGTAATCCAAGGCTTCTTGCATTTGTGCTGGCCACAGTTAAAGGTCTTGCTGTTCTTGCCAGATGCTTGAAGGAGAAGCTGATTTTTAACTACTCTGAGACAAACCTTGCTGGATGATTTGGAGTTGACTGAACTGAAACAAGAGCCTGAATTAATGGAGGAACTGTGCCTTGGGACTGTTGGGGTGAAATCTTGATTTTCATTGTTATTCTTTGCTTCCCCTACTCCCCATCTTACTTCCCTAATAAACCCCATTCTTGGTATCACAACTGTGAGTCTGTGAGTCAATGACAAATAAACAAAGCTCTTGCTGCTCGTGTGGATGTAGAGGTACCGTGGGGATTGGGGCTATGGCCTTTTTATCTGCTTCCCGCTGTGGAGCAGTGAGGGGCTATGCTATTCTCACTCTCTCAGGCCCCTCCAGAGAGATACTTAGAGCCTTATGCCGTTATGTTCTCAAGATAAGGAGATTTTCTGTTTTCAAGATAAGGAGATTGACTACTTTCTGTAAAGTTCAAGACTGAAAAGCATACAGAGATCTACTGCAGAATCATCATTTGAATTTCGTTTACATTCTTTATTATCCTTGTTCACAACTATTATGTGAAACTATTTTTTATAAAAACATGTCTCTCTGGGCCTCTTCCCAGTCCTTATAGATCATGATCTTGATGGTAAAGCCTAATCGATGTATATTGAGAATGGATTTAAGAATCAATTTAACACGCAGCTACACTGAAGAGCCTTTGGAATGGAAAGTAATGGTCAGTGGCTGTTGTTGCTGTTGTTATTGTTATGCCTGTTGAGTTAACGAGGACTCATAGTGACCCTGTGAAGAGGACTCTGAAGCTTGACCTTTCCTGACCCCACCTCGCCATCTTGAGAACACTGGACATCGTTACCACAGTCATCTCACTCAGTGTCGTCTTCTCTTCTGCCGACCCTCTATCCTTCCAGCAAAATGTCCTTCTCCAAGGACTGATCTCTCCTGGTAACATGCCCAAAATATGTGAGTTAGAGCTTCAAAATCCTTGTCCCCAGAGAGCAACCTAGGTTCACCCTCTCCAGGACAGACTTGTTTGTTCTCTTGGCAGTCCATGGATTGTTCAATACTCTTCTTCAGCACCACAACTCAAAGGCATACATTCTTCTTCTGTCATTCTTAGTCATTGTAAGCTCTCAGACGCACAGCAAGCATTTGAGAAAACCATAGCCTGGATCAGGTGCACCTTAGTCTCTAGATGAACATTGTTGCTCTTTAGCACTCTGGAGATCCCGGACATCAGATTTTCTTAATATAACTCATCTTTTGATTTCCTGACTGTTGGTACCAGGGTTGTTGATAGTGGCTATTACTTTTAACATGTTGTTACGTGCTGTTGAGTCATAGCTTTCGACTCATAGTTAACCTATCTACAACAGCTCTAAACTCTGCTCTGTCCTGTGCCAATCTCATTGTCTCTGACACACTCATCCCTATTGCCCCAGTCACCGAACCAATCCACCTCCCAGAGGGCCTTCCCCTCTTGTGCCTGTCCTCCACCCTACCAAGCATGATGTCCTTCTCCAAGGACCGGTCCCTCTTTACAACATGACCAAAGTATGTGAGACAGAGCCTCAGAATCCTTGCCTCCAAGGAGCAGCCCGGTTTAACCCTCTCCAGGATGAATCTGTTTTCTTAGCAGTCCATGGTACCTCAGCACTCTTTTCCAACACCAAAGCTCAAAAGCCTCAATTCTCCTTTTATCCTCCCTGGTCATTGTCCAGCTCTCTGACGCATAACAAGTGATAGCAAAGACCGTGGCCTGTACCAGATGAACCTTAGTCTCCAGAGACACACCATTGCTCTTGAGTACTTTAGAGAGGTCCCTAACAGCAGACTTTCCCATTGCAATACTTCCTGGCTGCTGGTGCCAAGAGAGTTGATTGTGGAGCCAAGCAGACTAAAGCTATGAACAATCTCAATCTCTTTACCATCCATCCTGATGCTGCCAATTGGTCCAGTGGTGAGAATCTTTGTCTTCTTGACATTGAGCCTCAGTCCATATTGGAGGCTGCAGTCCCTGACCCTCTGCAGCAAGCGCTTCAGGTCCTCCTCAGTTTCAGCAAGCAGGGTTGTGTCATCTGCATAACGCAGATTGTTGATAGATATTCCACCAATCTTAACCCCTCATTTCTCCTCATAGAGCCCAGCCTCCCAGATGATATGTTCTGCATATAGGTTGAAAAGGTATGGAGACAGGACACATCCCTGGCGTACGCCTTTCCCAATTTTGAACCATGCAGTATTTCCTTGCTCTATTCTGATGACTGCTTCTTGGTCCAAATATAAGTTTCGCATTAGCACAATCAAGTGTTCTGGGATTCCCATTCTTCTCAGTCAGCCACAGTTTGTTATGATCCACACAGTCAAATACCTTTGCATAGTCAGTGAAGCACAGATAGACATTCCTCTGGTATTCCCTGCTTTCAGCCAAGATATGTTCACCTAAATGAACCATTCACTAACTCTTAAATTTATATAGGACAAACTTGAGTGGTTCATATTCTCTTGCAGAATTAGGGAGATGCAATGTGGGTAGACCACTGTAATTGTCATTTCTATCAAAGGAAATGACATATAGTGAGAGTCAAGAAAATCTTGTCATGAAAATAATACTCAATCCTATATTCCTTTTAAACAGTTCTCTCCCTCATCTGTTTCAATGCAGTATACATTATTTATCCCCTCATTTCTTAGGTTCCCCCCAACCCCGATGTCAGTCACATTTTATAAGAGTGGCACTATGCAGTATTTGTCCTTTTGTGACTGAGGTATTTCACTCAGCATAATGTTCTCCAGGGTCACCCATTTTGTATAATATTTCATGAGTTCCTTGTTGCTTTCTAATGGTGCTTTCTAAAAAGGTTGGAAATAGAGAATAGAGATACCATTTGACCCAGCAATTCCACTACTGGGAATATACCCCAAAGAAACCATAACGTCCACCCAAGCAGATGTATTTATTGCTGCTTTGTTCACAATAGCAAAGAGTTGGAAACAACCCAAATTCCATCATCAAATGAATGGATAGAGAAGCTGTGGTATATTCACACAATGGAATACTATGCTTGATATTTCTAAAGCTGAAGGAACTAAAGAAAAAAATTCAAGCCTTGAATTGCAATGATTAAGGACACTATGGGCAGAATATTGAATGATCCAGGAAGTATTAAAAGAAGATGGAAGGAGTACACAGAGTCATTGTACCAAAAGAAGTGTCTGACACATAATTTCATGAAACAACATATGATCAAGAGGCAATAGTGATAAAGGATGAAGTCTAAGTCTTTTTTGGATGACTTAGCAAAAAGAAGGTCCCAAGAATCGATAGAATACCAATTGACATATTTCAACCAACAGATGCTTCCCTGCAGGTGCTTATGAGGTTGTGCTATGAAATTTAGAGGACAACCACCTGGCCAACTAACTGGAAGAGGTCCTTATTTATTCCTATTTTTAAAAAGGTGACCTACAGAGTGTGGAAATTATTAAATGATATCACTAGTATAATTCCATTTCATTTTTTAACAATTTCTGGTTTTCCAACACTCTTTGTTCCAGTTATTAAATGATGTTTGTCATGGTTTTGCCTCATTTCAATTTGGGTTCTACCACAACACTACTATAACTATCTTCATTGCTCTGGCATTCATAGGGTTTTCAAATGCCTATTATTTAAGAAATGGATGGCCAATCATGCTTCCTAGTCTGTCTTAATCTGGGAGCCCTACTAAAACCTGTCCACCAAGGGTAACCCTTATGGCATTTGAAACACTAGGGTCACAGTTTCCAGTATCACAACAACCCACAAGTTATCTCAGTACAGACAACTGCTGTACCACTTAGAACAATGTTCTCCCCAAACACAATAAACTGCTAATTTAGTTTGTAACTTTAATAGCAAAGCATTCTTCAAACCAAATGACTTTTAATCACAAAGGCCTGCTCACCTGGCCCTGACTGGTTTAAATCAGAGGCTTTCAGCCCACAACTGATTGTTAATTAAATAAAAATGACCAATCAGCTTATCCCTGATTATAAATGAAATAAAAACATCTGATCAAATTAAAATAAGGAAAGCAGTTTTCAGAACTGAGCAAGGAAACACCGCATGGTTCAAATTCAAATCATGCTCTGATTCTGGCCATGGTCTTTCTGATCACTTGCTATGCATCTGAGAGCTTGATAATAAATAGTGATGACAGAAGAATTGATGCCTTTGAGATGTGGTGTTGGAGAAGACTACTGAATATCCCATGGATGGCCAAAAAAACAAACAAATATGTCTTGGAGAGGGTGCAGCCAGAGTCCTCTTTGGTGACTAGGATGATAAGGCTTTGCCTCACATACTTTGGACATGCTGTAAGAAGGGGTATTCCTAGGTGAGGGACATGATGTTTGGAAGGGTGGAGGGTTGGCAAAGGAGAGGGAGACCCTCAACCAGGTGGATTCGACATCGTGACTGCTTCAATGAGCTCCAGTGTGGCAGAAGTGTTAAGATGACACAGGACAGGATGGAGTTCAGATCGACTCTGTATAGGGTTGATATGAGTCATACGTGACTTGACAGCACCTAACAACAACAGTAACAACTACTAATATCACACGCAAGCAAAATCCTGCTCAAGATTTCCCCAAAATGACTGGAATAGTAAATTGAAAGAGAACTACCAGAAACATGAGCTGGGTTTAGAAGAGGCCGTGGCACTAGAGACTAAAGCAAAGAATACCAGAGGAATATCTATCTGTATTTGATTGTCTATGCAAAGGTATTTGACTGTGTGGATCACAACGAAGTGTGTAACCTTGAGAACAAACACAATCCCAGAACACTTGATTGTGTTCATGCAAAATCTATACTTGAATCTGTACTTGGACCAGAAAGCAATCTTCAGCAAAGAGCAAGGAAGCAGTACACGGTTCAAAATCAGGAAAGGAGTGTCGGGGATGCGTCCTGTCTCCTCACCTTTTCTATCTGTAAGCAGAACAGATAATTCGGAAGCTAGGTTTTATGAGGATGAGTGTGGTATCTGGTTTGGGGGAAAACCTCATCAACGATCTGCGTCATGCAGATGATGCAACCTTGCTTGCAGAAACTGAGGAGGACCTGGGGCATTTGCAGCAGAAGGTCAAGGACTGTAGTCTTCAATATGGATCTAAGCTCAACATCAAGAAGATGAAGATTCTCACCACTGGGCCAACTGGAAGCTTCATGACAGATAAGAGATAGAAGAGAGGTTGAGGTTGTTAACAATTTCAGCTGGCTAAGCTCCATAATTAACACTCTTGTTATCAGCAATCAGAAAATCAAGAGATGAATTGCACTGGGAAAGTCTGCTGTCGGGGACCTCTCCAAAGTGCTAAAGAGTAATGATATCAGTCTAGGGAGGAAGGTGCACCTGCTCCAGACTATGGCCTTTACAATTGTTTGCTATTCATTGGAGAGCTGGACAATGACTAAGGATGACAGAAGAATTATTGATACCTTTGAGTTGTGGTGCTGGAGAAGAGGATTGAACATACCACAGACCATCAAGAGAACAAACAGGTCTGTCTTGGAGTGAGTGAAACTAAATTTCTACTTGGAGGCAAGGTGTTTTCTTTTTTAAATTTTAATGAACATTTACAGAGATTTTGGATTTCCATTCATTCACTGTTGCATTTTTCTCCCTGCCGACCCCTCCCCTCCAGTTCGCTCTTCTCTTTGAAAAGTAAAAGAAAAATTTCTTCATTGGTATACAATCCCCCTGACCCTGACCCTGGGATGGAAGCAAGGATTTTGAAACTCTGTCTCACATACTTTGGACACTTGGCCAAGAGGGACAACATGCTTGGAAGGGTGGAGGTTTAGCATAGGCAAGGAAGATCCCAGATGAGGTGGACTGACACAGTAACTGGAGTAATGGGGTTATGTGTGTGGGAGTCAGTGAGACTGTCTCAGGGTAGGTCAGGGTTCAGAGCTATTGTATATAGGGTTGTTATGAGTCACAGGTGACTCAATGACCCTCCGACCCTCTGATGGGTTTTCAGAAGAAGTGAATCACATGGGAGGAGATTGTCCATCTTTCTCCTTCAGAGTAGCTGGTGGATTTGAACTTCATGCCTTTGGGTTTGAACTTCTTCCCGTTAAACTACCAGAGGTTCTGAAGACAACTAGAACAGGTAAATATCTATTGGGTTGTTTTTTTTTTTTAATTCCACTTTATATTTTCAATTGTAGATTATATTTTCCTGTTTTTTTTCTTTATTTTATTTTATTAATTTCAATGAACATTTACAGAGATTTTGGATTTTCATTCATTCATTGTTGCACATTTTTCTTTACCTCTCCCCTGCCTATCTCCAGTTCGCTCCTCTCTTTGAGAAGCAAAAGATAAACTTCTTTGTTGGCATACAATACCATCCCCCGCCCCGCCCCACCCCACCCCACCCAGTAAATATCTATTGTTAAGGTAAATTTTTTGTTTTTTGTACTTAGAATGAAGAACTAAGACTTACGTTGCTATTGATGAGAAGGTAAATTCCATTTTCACGCTCTATGTCAACGAGAAATGTTACCACTGTTGTTTTCCTACTTTGAGGTAGGCAAGTAAGCCACTCAAGGAACGGTTCGCTGCTATAAAAACAAGCACTTGCCTGCAAAAGAGAAAGGAAAAGTTACTGGCACTCTTTTCCGGCGAATCCAGGTCTAGAAAGCTCTGTGAAACATCTCTTTCTGGGACAGACTATATTTCTAGTAGCACTGCATAAGTCTGGATTCACCATAATTAAGAAAGAATGGCAGTCTCTTCCCGAGCCTCATAGCTTCTGGAAACCTGCTGGAAGTCAGCTATGAGTCAGTGCTGACTTGACCGCAAGGAGGAAGGAGGAGTAACGACCATTAAACACAACAAAGAGAAAACAGAATCCCCACAACCGGACCAACAAGCAACCTCATGAGAAATGAAGAAAAAATTCAAGTTGTTAAAGATTGTAGTGTACTTAATAAGCAACTACTATGGAAGCTGTAGTCAAGAAATGAAAGGTGTATTGCACTGGGCAAACCTGTTACAGAAGATTTCTCTATAGAATACGATGTATGTAAATGATTGCATAAAGCAATAATGCACAAGAAGGAAACCCTATGTGAATGAAAGATTATATAAAACACAATGTACACACATGAACCACAATGTGTATGAATGATTGTATGCAAATATTCTTTTAAAAGACCACTTTGTACTGGGCTTAGTATGAAATTAGTTTACATTGTGTTTCATCCCTGTGTTATTGCTCTGTAACACTGAGTGGGAACCGACCCATAGCCGACCCTCTGGTGGGTTTTCAAAGGGAGTTAATTGCACAGGAGGAGATAGCCCATCCTTCTCCCGTGGAGCAATTGGTGGCCTTGAACCGTGTGCCTTCGGGACTGCAGCTCAGCTTCTGGACACTCTACATTGTGTTTTATACAATCTTTCATTTATAATGTATTTCATACAGTCATTCATGTACATTGAATTTGATATAGTGAATTACTATTGACCTATGACCATTATTACACCATCTTTTCAATTAAAAGAATTGAATCTTTCCTATTCCTTGACCTTCCCCCCAGTCCAGCCACTAAACTCTGATATCCCAATGATTGTCTTTCTTCCCTTTGCCCTGCTCCCTGTTCCCCTCTGCTTTTCCCTTTTGGACATTTCTACACATTTAATATTTATTCTTTTAGCTTTATAGTAATGGTCTTATACAGTGTTTGTCCTTTTGAAACTGAGTTCACTCTGCATTATGTTCTCTAGGCTTTCCTATGTTACATATTATTCTACACAAATCATTATTCCTTCGTCCAGCTTATTCCATTGTGTGAATGTCCTGTAATTTCTCAATCCATTCATTTGTTTATGGATATATGAGTTTTATCCATATTCATGCTATTGTCAATAATACTGCTATGAGCATAAGTGTATTTACCTCTGTTCATGTCTCAGTTTTAATTTCCTTGATTTCCTTGGGGTATATTCCTAGCAGTGTCCAAGGGCCTCCCACAGTGGTGGTACCATTTTTCAATCCCACCAGCAACATGAGAGTTCAAATCTTTCCACAACCACTCCAACGTTTACTCCTTGCTGTCCCGTTAAACTTTGCTATCGTAACTGGCTTGAGATGGTATCTTATTGTTGTTTTGGTTTTGCATCTCTCAGATGGCCAGTGATTTTGAGCATTTCATCATGTGAAAGAAAGACCTCTTTAAAGTGTTCAAAAGCAAAGCTGTCATTCATAGGATTAAGGAGTGCCTTACTCAGGTTGAGGTGTTTGCAATGGTCACATATGTACACACACAAGTTGGACAACGAATAAAGAAGAATGAAGAAGAATGGATGCCTTTCAGATATGGTGTTGTTGAAGAATATGGAATATGCCATGGATTACCAGATACCAGAAGAACGAACAAATAGTTCTTGGAAGAAGCATAGCCTGAATGCTCCGAGAAGCAATGATATAGAGACTCTGTCTCAGGTATTTGGACATGTTGTCAGGGGTCACTAGCCTTTGGAGAATCACATTGTGCTTGGAGAAGTAGAGAGTGCATGAAAGAGAGGAAGATGCTCAAACAGATGGATTAACACAGTGACTGCCACAATGGGCGAAAACTGATCACCGATTGAGAGGCTGGTGTAGGACCAGGCAGGTGGAGGTCCTGTGGGATGTGGGGGTCTCTGTGAGCTGGAATCAGCTCAACAGTGCCTGACAATAAGACACCATGGAGTGATAGTGAAGGCTTCAGCTGGTGTGACTAGGATAAAATTGCTGTTGTTGTTGTCGATTGCCTTCAAGTTGAGCACGACTCATAGCGACCCTATGAACAAAAGGCCTGAAGCCTCTCTAAAACTACTGGCATTTATCAAAGTTCATAGAGTTTATGGAGGCATGTTGTTTAGGAAGTGGGTGCAACTCTTGCTTCCAAAGCATGAAATTAAACACAACAAATATTCCTACTTTAAAAAATATTCATTACTATACCTCACTCAGGGTCTTGTTTCTGTCAAAGGTGATAGTAATGTAATCAACTGCAAAACACAAAGGCACATGAATAGCTTCAATACTTATAAAACCAGAAACATCAGTGTTAATAAAATAGATGACATACACAAAAATTCTAGGTGTTATGTACCATTAACTAATATATATTTATGTTTCTTTACTTATAGTTATCACAGTGTATGAAAATTGACTCAGATTTTGACTCAATTGTTTCTCATTTTCGAGGCATTAACTTTTATCCAGCAAATCTGTTAACTTTTATTCTGTTTATATAATTTTATTTAATTTCTATGAATCTAATACAGGTTGATTATCCGGGAGGCTGGACTCTATGAGGAGAAATGTGTGGTCAAGATTGGTGGAAGATCTATCAATAATCTGCATTATGCAGATGATACAACCCTGCTTGCTGAAACTGAGGAGGACCTGAAGCGCTTGCTGCAGAGGGTCAAGGACTGCAGCCTTCAATATGGATTGAGGCTCAATGTCAAGAAGACAAAGATTCTCACCACTGGACCAATTGGCAGCATCAGGGATGGTGAAGAGATTGAGATTGTTCACAGCTTAAGTGTGCTTGGCTCCACAGTCAACACTCTTGGCACCAGTAGCCAGGAAATTAAAAGGCGCATTGCCATGGGAAAGTCTGCTGTTAGGGACCTCTCCAAAGTACTGAAGAGCAATGGTGTCTCTTTGGAGACTAAGGTGCATCTGATACAGGCCTTGGTCTTTGCTATCACTTGTTATGCATTAGAGAGTTGGACAATGACTGAGGAGGATAGAAGGAGAATTGATGCCTTTGAGCTGTGGTGCTGGAGAAGAGTATTGAATGTACCCTGGACTACCAAGAAAACAAGCAGGTTCATCCTGGAAAGGGTCAAACCGGGCTGCTTCTTGGAGGCAAGGATTCTAAGGCTCCGTCTAACATATTTTGGACATGTTGTAAGGAGGGACCGGTCCTTGGAGAGGGACATCATGCTTGGTAGGGTAGAGGGACAGCACAGAAGGGGAAGGCCCCCTATGAGGTGGATTGACTCAGTGACTGGGGTAATCGGGATGGGTGTATCGGAGATGGTACAATTGGCACAGGACAGAGCAGAGTTTAGGGATGTTGTACATAGGTTTGCTATGAGTCGCAAGTGACTCGACTACACATAACAACAACAATGAATCGCAAGTGACTTGATGGCACATAACAACAATGACAACATATATTATTTATTAGGGAGCTCTGGTGCCCTAGTGGCAAGAAGCTGTGCTGTAATCCTGAAGGCACACAGTTTGAGGCCACCAGTTGCTCCACAGGAGAAGGATGGGCAATCTCCCATGCTACTAACTGCCTCTGAAAACCTGGGTCAGGTATAGATTGGTTCTGACTTAACGGTACACAACAACACAACAATATTATAGTTAATCGTAAGTTTTCCAGACAATAGTCTGCTGTGGGTTCTAGTTCTAATGTGCTGTCGAGTCAAGCACGACTCACAGCAATCCCAGGAACAACAGACCAGTTCACTCTGTCCCATCCTGTGCCATCCTCATCATCTCTGACACACTTGAGCCCATCATAGCAGTAACCGTGTCAACCCATCTTGGGGTCTTTTTCTCTTTCACTGACCCTTAATCCTTCCAAGCGTAATGTCCCTTTCTAAGTAATAGCCTCTCCTAACAACATGTCCAAAGTATAAGAGATGAAGCTTTACCATCTTTGCTTTCAAGGAGCACTCTGGCTGCACCTTCTTGAAGACATATCTGTTCTCTTGGCAGTCCTTGGGATATTCTGTACTCTTCTCTAACACTACAATTCAAAGGTATCAATTCTTCTGTCATCCTTATTCATTGTCCAGCCCTCAGATGCATCTCTCTTCCATTGTCCAACTCTCAGATGCACAACAAGTGATTGAAAAGACTATGGTCTAAATCAGGCTCTTAATTGTTTTAGAGAGGCCCCTAGTAACAGACCTACCCAACATAACACATTCCCTGATCTCCTGACTGTTGATACCAAACGTACTCATTGTTGATTCAAGCAAGATGAAATAATTGACAATTTCAGCCTTTTCTTCATCTCTTATTATTCTATTATCTAGTGCCTGTTAGTCCAGTGGTGAGGACTTTTGTTTTCTTGAGGTTGAGATGTAATTCATACCAAAGCCTGTAGTAGCCCTTGATCCTCTGCAGCAAATGCTTCAAGTCCTCCTCACTTTCAGCAAGGAAGGTTGTGTCTTGGGCTAATTTTTGGAAGTAAATTGTCAGACCTTTCTTCCCAGTTTTTCTTAGTATAGAAGCTTGTTAAAGTCTTGATAGTTGTATTGTTGTTATGTGCCATTGAATCACTGGTGACAATAGCCCTGAAATCTGCTCTGTCCTGTGCCAATCTTATTGTCTCTGACACATCTACCTACATTACCCCAGTCACTGAGCCAATCCATTTCATTGAGGATCTTCTCCTGCACTGTCCCTCCACCCTCCCAAGCATGATGCCCCTCTCCAAGGACTGGTCCCTCCTTGCAACATGTCCAAAGTATGTTAGATGGAGCCTCAGAATCATTGCTTCCAAGGAGCAGCCTACTTTCACCCTCTCTAGGATGAACCTCTTCGTTCTCCTAGCAGTCCATGGTATATTCAACACTCTTCTCCAGCACCACAGCTGAAAGGCATCAATTCTTCTTCTATAATCCCTAGTCATTGCCTAGCTTTCTGATGCATAGCAAGTGATTGCGAAGACTATGGCCGGGACCAGGTGCAACTTCGTCTCCAGACTGACATCATATAGACACATAGCAGACTCAAATATATCAAAGATCATGAAGATGGTACCAGATGGAACAGTGTTTCACTCTCTTATACACAAGGCTGTCATAGGCTAAAGCTGACTGAACAACAACAAACAACACATGTATATATTATCCACATGAGCGGAAGCCTGTTGATATATCTTTAACCAAAATTCATCTCTGAGAAAGGCACTACCGAATAAGGGGCTGATTTTTGTTATGTGTTGTGGTCTCAGCTATGGTTGATCAGTTTAATTATTAATTATAATCCAGTACATTAATTAAAGAACCACTGTTAAGGAAATTAAACTATAATTCTTTGTTAATCTATAATTAATTTAGAATTCTAAAACAGTATTATTAACAATTACATTATAAAGTGACGCTCTTGTTGTGAACGGTCAAGGACTGCAGCCTCCAATATGGATTGAGGCTTAATATCAAGAAAACAAAGATTCTCACCACTGGGCCAATTGGCAGCATCAGGATGGATGGTGAAGAGATTGAGATTGTTCACAGCTTTAGTTTGCTTGGCTCCACAGTTAACACTCTTGGCACCAGCAGCCAGGAAATTAAAAGACGTATTGTGATGGGAAAGTCTGCTGTTAGGGAACTCTCCAAAATACTGAAGAGCAATGGTGTCTCTCTGGAGACTAAGGTGCGTCTGATGCAGGCCATGGTCTTTGCAATCACTTGCTATGCATCTAAGAGCTGAACAATGACTAGAGATGATCGAAGGAGAATTGATGCCTTTGAGCTATGGTGTTGGAGAAGAGTATTCAATATACAATTGAATGCTAAGAAAACAAACAGGTTCATCCACAGAGGGTTAAACCAGGGTGCTCCTTGGAGGCAAGGATTCTGAGGCTTCGTCTGACATACTTTGGACATGTTTCAAGGAGGGACCAGAGTTTGGAGAGGGACATCATGCTTGGGAGGGTAGAGGAACAGTGCAGGAGAGGAAGACCCTCTATAAGGTGGATTGATTCAGTGACTGGGGTAATTGGGGTGGGTGTGCCAGAGACAGTGAGATTGGTACAGGATAGAACAGGGTTTAAGGCTGTTGTACATAGGGTCACTATGAGGTGCAGGGGACTCGAAGGCACATTACAACAAGTGACAATTAATGTTATAAAATAAAATGTCTGAATGTACAAAAAACAATAAAATAAATCACACAGACAAAAAACTTACTTTCAAAGGTTTCTCTGTTTGCAAAGCATCTTTCACTATACCACAATTTTCCTTTGGTATAGTCTTCCTGTGTATATAAAGAAAGAAAGAAAGAAAGAATCTATTAGGCAACATATAGACTTGAGACATTAGAAAGGCAAAAATCTCATTGTAAAAGGGAAAATTTGGTAGTTTGAACATGGGAGGCGAGCAAAGAGACACATTTCATATAATGAAATTAAAAATTGTAGAATGAGGACAAGCAACAAACAATCTTACATTTGGCACAACACACAAAAAAGGAATGAGAAGAAACATCCCACAAATTAGCCTTTGTTAACCAAGGTGTGCCTCGTCTGTGGACTGTCTTTCTGAAACCACCTTTCTTCATTAGGCAGTGGGTCAGCTGTGTTTCTTTTCTCATTTACTGCAAATGGGCCAGAGGGATCTTCTCAGATGCCCAGCAGCCGCAAGAAACAATGGGAGGTTTACGTTTCATGTGTGTTTCACGTGTGACCATCTTTTCAATTGAAATGTGTTAGTTTTATGTAGTAAACTATTTTCCTCTCACGTTTCCAGTGTGACAATGCATGCTAAAAATTAACGGCCTACTGGAATCAACACAAATATCCCAAAAGTTTAACTAGATCCATTTAACTTTCCAAATAGGGGGGAAGTGCCTCTAGAGAATACTGTCTCTCATCTCCTGTTTCCTGGTCAGTACTTGAGGTGATCGGCAGGGAAAGGGGACCAGGATGAGACCGCATGTGTCCTTGGTATGAGATTTAGCAGAGGGGGTGTTGTCTCTTAGATTAATGAACTAACTCAAATTCATTACCATTGCGCCAATTTTGAGGTTGCAAATCTCTAAAGTCACAAGCTGCCTAACATTTACTGTAGGTTCAAGCAGCAAACCTTGTTCTTGGAAGTCCAACACATTAAGCATGCCCCAAGGGCTCCCTGTACACTACTCATGGTGTTGTTTGATGCCATTACATTTCAAAGGTATCAATTCCTCTTCAGTTTGCCTAATTTATTCATTTTCCAACTTCCAGCTAGCTGCAAAGCAGTTGAAAATACGATGGCTTGGGCAAGATGTATCTCTGTCTTTAAATTGATATCAGTGCTCTTCAGCAGTTTGAAATTCTTGACAGCAGACTTTTCCGAAGCAACACCTCTTTTGAGTTCTTGACCACTGCTACCAAGCGTGTTGATTGTGGATGCAAGTAAAATGAAATCATTGACAAATCCAATCTCTTCTCCATCTATCATAACACTGCCTATTGGCCCAGTTGTGAGAATTTCTGTTCTCTTGATGTTGAGATGCAAGCCACAGTGAAGACGGGAGTCTTTGAGCTTCTCCAGTGAGTGAGTTAAGTCTTCTTCACTTTCTAAAAGCAAGATTGTGCCATCTGCGTGATGCAGATTGTTGATGAGTCCTCCTCTAATCCTACATGTTTTCATATACTCTGGGATTATTTGCTCAGCATACATATTAAATAAGTACAGAAAAAGAACACAACCTTGATGCACACCTTTCTTGATTTTAAACCATACGGTTCCAGCTGAGGGACTCTTATTCTATTTGAGTGACTGCTTCTTCATTCATGCAGGTTTCTCATGAGCACAATTAAGTCTTCTGGAATTTTCCTTCTATAATTTAGAATAATACTTTTTAAAAATGTTTAAATATTATATTTAAAAATGTATCATGGCAATTAAACTGTTGAACCAATTTTCATTCTTTTTCCAAGTAAGATAAAATTGAATCTAGATACCTCATACCAGGGTAGAACTGTACTTAAAAAAAATCATACTGAATGATAGATTATTCTAATAGAGTTAAAGATGTTCACCATACTGATCTTCCTGAGAGGTTGGAGGGAGAATAGGAAAAGAGTGGACAGATAATGAACACTGCAGTGGAAGAGATGGGGGAACACGATCCTAAATGAATGTGATTACACATTAAATGTATGACAATAATGAGGAATAAGAGGTGCATTGGAGGAAAAGGTGCAACAATGAATGAATGAAAACACAACCTCCCTATAAACCTTAGTGATTTTTTTTTCCTTGTTGTGTACCATCGAATTGGATCTAACTGGTATTACCTCTTTGCCCCTCCTTCTCCTGCAGAGCATCTGGAAAAAACCAAATTTATTAAAAAATTTTATTATTTTTGTGTGCGTGTACCGTCAAATCAGATCTGACTGGTACAGGAGGAGATTGCCCCTCCTTCCCCGGCAGAGCATCTGGTGGATTCGAACCGTGCACCTCTGGGACTGTAGTTGCAGCTTCTTGCCACTAGGCCACCAGAGCTCCCCTATTTTTTTTTTTTAAGAAGAGAATTCTAAAATCCTTTTCTTATCCACTCAAAACTCTTTGCTTCCTTTCATGTTACATCACCTAACATTTTGGTTCCACTCAATTATGAAACATAAAACTTGCATTATTTTTCCCCCCAATACCAATTTCCTTCATTCAACAAATGCTTACAGAGTGCCTAGTGTGCGCCAGGCACTATCTCCTCATTGATGTCCAGGACTGAACATAGGGAAGGCCCCTGCTCTCAGAGTTTGTAGCTGGCATCCTACTTTCTTTTTTTTTTAATTTATTATTAATTTCAGTGAAAATTTACAGAGACTTTGGATTTTCATTCATTCATTGTTGCAAGGCATCCTACTTCCTGAAGTCTCAATTTCTGGAATCTCTTGGTGGGAAATTGCCTTTCCCTCTGACTTCATCATTGGGTGATATAATTTAGCTGGGCTTTATGATTGCATTGTGGTGGTGGTGGTGTTAGGTGCCTTGGAGACAATTGTGACTCTTAGCGTCCCTCTGACCAACAGATCTGACAGATCTACCCGATGGCATTTCCATGATCTTTGATTTGCTGAAGTCCTTTGTTACAGTGTCAGTCCATCTCACTGAAGGTCTTTCTATCTTTCTCTGACCCCCCACCTTGCCCAGTGTGATGCCTCTTTCTAAGGATGGGCCCCTCCTGACAAGATACTCAAAGTACATAGACAAAGGTTCACCATCCCTGCGTCTGTGGAGCACCGTGGTTGGACTTCTTCAGAGACCTACTTGTTTGCTCTCTTGGCCGTCCATAAGCTACTAGGACTCTTCAGTACCACAACTTACAGGCATCCATTCTTCTTCACTCTTTCTTATTTGTTGGCCAACTTTCAGATGCATAGGTAGTAATGGAAAAGGCCATGGCTTGGAACAGGCACATCTTAATTTTAAACTGACATCATTGCTCTTTAGCAAGATGAGTTCTTTGACAATCCCAATGCAACCTGCTTTTTCTTTTTAAAAAACTTTATTAATTTTAATGAATATTTACAGAGATTTTGGATTTCCATTCATTCATTGTTGTACTTTTCTCCCTGCCCCCACCCCTGCTCGCTCCTCTCTTTGAAAAGTAAACGAAAAATTCCTTCATTGGTATACAATACCCCTGCACGCCCACTCCCCAGGCCCCAAGTACACTCCACTATGCAACATTAATCCTGGACTCTTGTGATAACCATAATATCCTATCGTATATTGCTTTTAAACTGTTCTCTCCCTCATCTGCAACCTGCTTTCTCATTTCTTGATTGCTGGTCCCATGGGTGTTTGACGGTGGATCCAAGTAGAATGAATAACAGCCATGAAGTGATCGTTCCTCCTAGGAAGGACCTGTGTACTCAGTGGCATGTGTTGGGACAGAATGAAGTAAGAACTTGGTAAGGAGTAATCCCGATGTTTCTACAGCACAGCATGTGTTTACGTTGATGGGAAGGACCTGGTTGAACCAGAAAACCTTTTTGCAACAGAAGGAGTAGCTAATCAATGGAACAAAATACCCTAAAGAGGGAGAAACAGAGGTGTTGCTGTCTATGTAACTCAAGTCCTCTGCTGTTGAGTCAATCTGACTTGTAGCAGCTGCATAAAAGCCCTGAGTGGGACTGCCCCCTAGGCTTCAAAGACTGTGATCATTACAGAAGCAGCGGGCCACTGTGCCTCTCCACAGCACTCTGCCCACTCGGTCCAGGGTTTTCCTTTTCCGAGGAACAACTGGAGGGATCAGAAACTTCGGACTTTTCAGTTAGCAACAGAGCGCTTTACCCACTGTACCACCAGGGTTCCTGTTTGTTTTTATAGCACTTGTGTGTAAACTGGAACACATAACCCTCTCTCCAGGTGAGTATCGAGCTACCTGGGATAGGTGAACATTTGAGTTGAAGCATTAGCTAGATTTCAGCCCCTGCTCAGTTAGGCAATTTTGAGCAAGAAAGGGCCCGAATAACTGTAATATTCTTAGGGAGATGAAGCCATGGGAGCTACAGCATATGAGGGCAGGGATGGGGTTTCCTCTGAGACAAAGAAAGGTGCTTCTCTGAAACAAAAAAGGGGATCACAATTGCTGAAAACAAACTTTTCCTCCTGTTGTAAAAAAACCCCACAACAACACAACCCAAACTAACAACTTTTATTCTGATTTAGGTGGATGGTTACCAACAAGTTGATTTCCCAATCAACAATTCACTCATGCTTTAATTTACGCCACTGAATCTTGTAATAGCACAAGGAAACAGTGCTCTCCTCCTCCCCGCCCCTTCCTGTTTTCCATTTCTGTCCTGTCTCTCCTTGCCTTCTGAGCTTTGGTGAATGCTTCCCTTTGACCTCGTATGATTGGTCAGTGCTGGGAGCACATTCTTTCCTGATGTTATGGCTCTCCTGATAGGCCTGAGGACCTAACTGTTTCTGTACTGTGTACTGTATTTCAATTTTCATTTTACTATTTAAAGTTCAAACCATAAATTTTACTATAGTAAAAAGGACATTCTCCATGATGACACTCGAGATCTAATTCTTGCCTGAGTCACCAAATAAACTTGTGTCTTGTAACTTACCCTTAAAAATAGAAAGTTGCTCACCTTTTCAAAGCCACAAAATTCTATCCTTGTAAACTGGAAGAGAAGAGAAGTTGTCATTTTTTCCCCCATGAACCTCAGAGCATATAACAAACATAATAACTAAAATGATAGCTAAGGAAATGTTGATGGTTTTGTAGTTGTTTTTATCACAACACTCAGGGTTGTCATTCACCCAAAGTAGCTCTATGAAGTAGTTTCCATAAAATCCTCAATCTCTGCCTTGCTTCACCATTTAAAAAAAATTTATTTATTGCTTAATTTAATTCCAGAGAGGATCAGAGATCAAAAGCACACATTTTAATGATTTAATGATTTTTGCAGAAGGGTTGCAAAAGTTTCTGGAAAGGCATGGTCTTAGTTATATCTACTGTTGCTGTAACAGCAATATCCCAAGTGGATGGCTTTAGCAAACAGAGAGCTATTTTTATTTTTTTTAAATTTTTTATTTAAAGTTTTTTAAAAAATTTTGTTATTTTTGTGTGAGTGTACCGTCAAATCAGATTTGACTGGTACAGGAGGAGATTGTCCCTCCTTCCCCGGCAGAGCATCTGGTGGATTCGAACTGTGCGCCTCTGGGATTGTAGTTGCAGCTCCTTACCACTAGGCCACCAGAGCTCCCCTAGAGAGCTATTTTTGTACTTTTGAGGAGGCTGCAAGTCTGAATTCAGGGCACCGGCTCTAAGAGAAGGCTTGCTGTCTGCTCTGGAAGAAGGTTCTTGCGGCTTTGAGCTCTTGTTCCTGGGAGCTTGCCATGCATCTCAGCATCTGCCTCCCCACATTTGTGTTTGAGGTGGTGTTAGGAATCACGGAGTTGACTATAACTCACAGCAACCCTGTGAACACCGGATCTGAAGCACGCCCTATCCTCAGGATCTCGGCCAGGCTCGAACCCAGGGGTACGGTCACTGTGTCAGGTTATCTCGTTGAGGGTCTTCCTGTTTTTCCACTGACCCTCCACCTTCCCCAGCATGTTGTAATCTTCTAAGGTCTGGTCCCTCCTGACCACATGCCCAAGGTTTGTGAGATGAAATTTCACCATCCTTACCTCTAAGGAGCACTCTGACCGCATTTCCTGCAGGACAGACATGTGTTCCTTTGACAATCCACAGTAAGTTCGATACTCTTTGGCAGCACCACAATTCAAAGGCAAGTTTAATCTCTTTTAGATCTCAAAAGGGATTCACTCTAGAGACTCCCTGCACTAGTTTCATCTAATTAACATACCAACGACACCAGATTCTCAAATGAGAATCACAGGTATAGACATTAGGATTAGTGACACATATGGGGGGGGCACTTTTCGACCCTTCACACTTTGTCTATCCACAACTTGGGTTCATGACGGAATAGGCTCTGGTGGCCTAGTGGCAAGAAGCTGCGCTGAAATCCTGAAGGCATGCAGTTTAAGTCACCGGCTGCTCTGTAAAGGAAGGATGGACAATCCTCCTGTGTGATTAACTGTCTCAGAAAACCCACTGGAGGGTCAGCTGTGGGTCAGTTCCGACTCTACAGTACACAACCACCACCACCACCACCACCACCACCACCACCACCATCCTAGCCTGTTACTTTGTTCTTTGCCATGTTGGTTCTCTAATCTGCCTGGAACAGTTTAGAGACCTGAATCTCATGATCTATTCTCCTTGCCTACCTCTCCCAGTTTTTGGTTTGGTTTTGTTTGCTGTCTTAGATCATTGACTTTTGTTGTTATTGCAAATATACATGGCAGAATACACACCAAGCCCAGAGTTTCTTCCTGTGCAGCCCACGACATTGATGACATTCTTCAAGCTGTGCACCCCTCCTCCTCCTCCTTGAGTTATTTATTCCTCTCTGTGAGCATAAACCCACTGCCCTCCATCTAAACCCCCAGACCCCTCAAATTTCCTATCTGACCAGTCAAGTTGCTGTTATCAATTTTTTTTTCTGGTATTCTCTATTTCCTTCCCCACTAGTTTATTTCTAATACAAATTCAAACAAATTATTTCAATTTCCCTCACCCTCCTCCCCACCCATCAAATTGTACAACCCAATGATTAATCCCCTCTTCCCCCTGCACATCCACATCCCTCTGCTTCCACCTTCTCCCATGCCTCCTGGATCCTTAGACTCCTTCTACAATAATGGCCTTATACAATATTTATCCTTGTGGGACTGAATTAGTTCACTCAGCATAATGCTCTCCAATCCCTCCCAAGTTAGGTAATAATTTACAAAGTTATTGCTCCTGTGTGCTGGATAGTATTCCATTGTGTGAATATACCATAATTTCTCAATCCATTCTTTTGTGGTTGGACATTTGGGCTGTTTCCGTGTTCTTACAATAGTAAATAATGCTGCTGTGGACATTGGTGTACAAATCTGGCTGTTACCAAATTTTTAAAAGACTTTTATTGCTGCTGTTGTTGTGTACAATCAAGTTGGAACTTGGCTCATAGTTGACCGTCCAGCAGGTTATCAGAGCCAATATCTCACACAGGAGGAGATGGCTCACCTTTGTCCTGCAGAGCAGCTGGTGGATTCGAACTGCCTGCCTTGGGGTTGGCAGCCCGTCTTCTTACCACTAAGATAGTTGCGCTGTCATCGATGTTTTAACATGAGTCAGTGGAACCTTCCAGGCCTCTTCAGTGAGCTGCTTTTACAATTGCATGAGGAGCGTAGCAGAAGACCTGATCTATTGGTGGGGGTTACTTTCTCACAGATAATGGGAAAGGCGGGCAGGTGGTGCGTATTCCTATACCTGAGGAATGATAGTCATCTCCAAGTATAGGAAAGAGTTCATTCACAGCCAGTAAAATCACCTTTACCTCCTTTGATCTTTTTTTCCAAGGAGCCCTGGGGATGCTGTGGTTAAAACCTCTAACAATGAGCCATTGAAACCCAAGAGAAGCTCAGCAGGACAAAGATGTGGAAATCTGCTTCTGTAGAGCTTACAGGCTGGGAAACCCTATGGGCACTATGACTTTGTCTATGGGGCCGCTGTGACTTAACTTGCCAGCGACTGGATCTTTTCTCTGATTGTTCCTAAATGCTTGTTGTTGCTGTGGAGGGTCCACAATTTCATCCTCACTCACAGTAACCCCACGCAACAAAGCAGAACTGCCTCCTAGTTTGCCTGGTGGTGATTTTTTTGTGGACATGGACTGCCAGGTCTTTGTTTCGTGGAAGTGCTCTGTGCGTTTGAGTCACTGTTGTTGTTAGGGGTCACTGAGTTGGAACCAACTCATAGATAGATGACCATCCAGTAGATTCCTAGAGGAGACAGCCCATCTTTCCCCGACAGAGCAGCTGGTGGATTCGAACAGCCTGCTTTGAGTTGTCACTGAAACACTTTACCACTAAGTGACTAGTCGGGAGCCTGGAAATTAGCAGCAGAGTGCTTAAATACTGCGCTACCAGGGCTTACTAAATACTTATCACTGGTCTTCTTTCTAGGCCAGTCATTATTGACAGATGTTTCTTAAAATGTGAGCTGTGAGG